TACAATAATCACTGTGAGTGTTACAATAACTGCTACGACACAGTATGAAGTCGGATAAGCGAATTAGAGCAATCAAAGGTTACCAGTGTCGGATTTGACAATTCTGACCAGATGTGGCTTCGGATTGAAGTTGCGTCGGCGCGGTGCCACGAAGCAATCGCCGCTGGAATCGCTTTCATCGCCCATCATTTGGCATCCCTGGCCGGCTTCCCAGACTCTGAAAAGCGGGCTTTGTCAACGGCTCCCAAAAGCAAGTTTTCTGTCTGATAAAAGACCAATAGAGCACCAATGAATCAGTGGGCCCCCCAATTCATCATTCATTCATTTCTGTGTGTTTTAGCAAACAGAGAGACAGGGAGAGAGAGGGGAAGCGCGGGAGTGCAAAAGCCAAGAAAGAAAAAAAGCGCTGCGACGAGGCAACAGTGTGTGCTTCAATTACACTAACGTATACGCTCTCAGCAGACGTATGCACAAATCTGATAAGTAGTAATACAACGAGAAAATGCCTTCTGCATGTAGGCGCAATAACACTACAGCGTCATCATGCAGCAAAGCGATGGCAATCCTGATATATATAAAAGAACCCATTGACAATATGCATTTTTGCATTGCATAGATGCAAAAAAACACGCACAAAAATATAGAATTATGTTAAAAATCGCACGAAAGGGGGATATTTCAGTCCCACAAGTCGTACACATCCCTACTCAGCACTGCGAATGGACCTCGTCAGCAAGAAGACAGTTGTGCTGTTGATAAACAAATAAAATGAAATTAATTCCCCCTAACAGAATTGGTTCGCATAGTACCAAAAACACTACAATGCCGTCATATCTGTCTGCGTACAAGTGACAAAGCCGAGGTGATTTCTGGCTGTGTGTTCGTGGAAAAGTGTTGTAATAAGATCATCGCCTCCAGCACAAGTGGGTTCCCCAAATATCCTCACCGAAAATGCTCAGCCTGAGAAATTACACCGAAAAATGATGAACATGCATGCCCCCGGGAATGAGAAGTGAGCGAAAGCACGAAATTGGTGCTGTCTCCGAAGGCACACGGATTTATACGGGCAATAAAACTAGCATGAGTTCAGGAACAGTGCACACACACACACACACACACACACACACA